TACTGTGTGGTTCTAGAGATGTTATCAGGAAAAATGCCATTTAAATACTTTGAATTTAGCGGCCTCTTCCTCTGCATGTGCACTTTTTTCCCATCTAAAAGTGTTTTACTAAAGCTCCTTTGAGCAAGAAAACTCTACATTTGAAATACCAGCGTTCAGAGGCCTGGAGGAGTGGGTGATTGCTGATTAAAATGAGACAAAGCAGTATGTCCTGAACAGAGGGAAAGAACTCTGTCATATGTTTCAGAGTGGGAAACTCTATTTCCTGTTTTGCTACGTGGAACTTGGTTCTCCTAATGCACCTGTTCCAGTCCAGTTGCCCAGCTATTGTCTTCTTCATCCAAAAGATGATTCCTTTGTTCCAATACATTGGGTATTTATTTGTGATTCCAAGTAGAGACCAGTTTCTGTCAGCAGTCTTTTTTTTTTTTGCATCAAAATCAAGAAAGGAAAAGGTAGCTGATATTAAAAGTAGGGGTAAAACTGGTTTTTTTAAGGAGCACCTAGTTCATAAGGCTGGGCTGTACAAAGGGCTTGCTGCTGAGTGACTTCTTGAGAACTCAGGAGTCTGAGGCTGCTGCTGAAATTTGGACTAAAAGGACGACCAACTGTCATTCTTCAATACTTCCAGGTATGAGAGGCAGAAATTTTCTGTGTTTATGAACTTCCAGGATTAACCTAAGTCAAAGGCAGTAAAAGCAGAAGTTGTTCAGGTCATCCTCCCCTTATTTGTCAATAAACCGATAAACCTCAGTCATGGCTTGTGATAGTCTTGGTATCCCAGTCTTGTGGTGTTTATATAAACACTGTCAATACATAAGTTCTGTGCTCGTTTTCTGTCATGCAGATAAATAGCTTTCAGAGTTAGGTTGAGGCCACCCCAAACTCTTTTCATCTGTGTATTTGCTCAGACTTGTGAAATCTTAAAACTGTAGCATATTATTATGCCACTGTTTATGGAACCACAGTCTTCTAAAGCATTTCTCCTACACATAAATCAAAGGCTCCAATTCTCTTGCTCTGTTATGTATAAGCTAGGAAGTAACTCTTTTGAGGAAGACGCTGTTCCAAAGAAAATTAAAGTAAATCCATGTTATTAGAAATCTTTAGGAGGCGAGGACTGGTTTGGTTCAGTGCTGTGAGTGACCATACAGGGATACATATGTATTTATGTTGGCTTAGTCCTACTGCAGAAAAATAACAGTAAGCCCTTGGATGCATTGGGAGCAACTATCTAATTCTTGGTTCTTCCTTTTGACTATGATCCAGTTAATTTCCCAGATGTACCTACTCATCTGTTTGACAATAGCCAAGAGAAATTATGTCCTACATTTTTTTCAGGTCTTACAGTCAGATCTGTCTTTCAGTATTTCTTGCAGGTGTCTTGGGCTCATCTCCATCGCTGTTATCTCAGTTTGCTCTGGAAAAAATGTTTATGCTACTTGAAAGCGGGAAACTTCATAGCAATTCTCAGATCATCTCAAAAGCAAATCTAGTTACATTTAGGGACTTTCTGGGATCAGTTACAATCTACCACTCAGTAGATGCAATAGTTTTCAAAGTAATGACTGTCTTTCTTTTAAAACCATTAGGTATTCATATTGTAAAATGAAAGTGAACTGAGGTTGCATTTGTCAGATTTTGTGTTGTAAGAAGCTATGGAGACTTCAAGGAGCATCATCTGGTTTTCTGCATGCAAAAAATCCCAAAGTATTTTTGTAGGAAGGCGGGTACTCTGCTGGATTATAGGAAGATCCACTAGGCACTAAACACATAGAACAGAGACAGAGATTTGTAGCTGATAAGCTCCTGCTTTAGTACAATTAACTTGAAAAAAATGTGTGCATTAAAACCCAGGTTCTCCGTTAGCGTCTCTTCAACAGTGCTCAGTTCCGATGGTCACGTTGGGCGGTGTATGACTCCCAGCCAAACATCTTGTTAAATACTTGCAGGATTTCCCATAGCGGATCTTACTTTAATCAAATAATTCAAACATTTCTCTTGTAAGTACAATAGAAGGGCAGGGCTTGTGTTTACAAAGTATTCATTATGGAAATCCTGTATTAATTGAGGTACATTTACTTCACTTAGGACAGTGTCCGCATAGTAACTCTTTAAATAAAAGGCCTTTTGCTGTTGCCTATTCCAGAGAGGCAGTCACGTGCAATGTTAATGCGTCACATACAGAAAATCATGAGGAAATGGCTTCAGAGATGTGCAATCTAGGCAGCAGAGATGTTCCTAATTAACAAAGACAATTTTATGGGTGATATTCTCACAGTGAATGGAAGAGAGTATAATTTATAAAAAGTAGATTTATCCCTGTGGAAACTACTAAATAAAGAGGCTGTGTCTTTCTCAATCTATTTCAAGAATGATTAGCAGGAGCAATGCCAGATGTTGTTTTTTTGTAATATCATGGATTAATATAACCTGTGATTTAAATTATTATCTTTCTAAGGTAGCAGCTCTATTTTCTATGAGTAAACACAATGTATTTGTACCTGGCCCAGTGCAGAATCTGGAGCTTTTATGATTAACAGTAAAGCATTTAGAGTTTCACATAAAGAGTATGTGGAAAGGAAAGATAATATGAATACTCGGTGATAATATTATTACTCAGTAAAAGGAAACCAGAATTGTGCTTCTCTGAGTTCCTTGTTTTGCTGTGCCAGAAAATGCCAGAATCAACATAACCTACATACAGAAGAATTAACAGAGTCAACATTTTCCTCCTCAGTGAGTTGGAAATTACATGTTGCTTCTAAGTTTAATACAGTGAAATCTTTTTTCCTTTTTTTTCTTTAATTATAACTCTGCTATAGTTGAAAATATGGGGGTTTTGCCAGTGTATTAAATACCTGGCAAAAGAGGTGTTCTAGAACATTTTAGGTGAATGTAGGTCAACACAAAGGAATCATACAGTTGGAAATATTTTCCAGTGTTTATGTTCAGATGTTGAGACCTGTCTGGCTCCTCTCTATTTGCATGTGTTGGGGTTATAGGCAGTCCGGCTACATTCCACGTTGATTTATATAAATATATTGCAGATTATTAATCTCCAGCCAAATACCAGTAAATTTCACTTTTCAGGAAGGTTTGTGACTTTTCACACAACTTGTTTACCGTGTACAGGACATGTACACCCCATTTAGGGAATCTTAGAGAACGTTATTTGTCATTATGAGAAATGTGCCAACACATTTTCTCTTACAGTCACTGTGTTACCATAATAATTAATGTTTGTTTGTTCAGATTATGATTACAGATTAAGTACAGATTAGTCTTCAAGTAGAGGTAGGGTGACAGTCTTATTATCATATTCTGGAATTCTGGTTCCTAATTTATTACTCACTGAATAGCGTCTTTAACCTAAAATGAATGTGCATGTATACATTTTCAAAATATGGTAGCTAATAAACATTTTTTCAGTGTAAGACTAATGATTATTTAGGAAATGCTGTCAAATGAGAGCACAGCCTTACTATGGTAAATGCCAAGTGAAAAATACTGCTCTCTTAAACCCGAATTACATTCTTCCCAAGTGGTTATGCCAATTCTAGTGTTTCCTTCTCTTGTGCAATACATTGAGATTTAAGTTAAGAAGTAAAATCTCAGTGCAAGATCTCACATACATCTTGTCCTTGTCTGTTTGTCAGATGTCCTCTGGGAAAAGAAGGGACTCTCAAGACTTTGTGTGTGATCAGTTGTTTTCAAATCCTGCATATAAAGCCTTTAGTCCTCGAACAAACAACAAAAATACCACTTGATAACATTACCAGAAGTCCTGCACTTCTTAATTCTAATAAAATAATTCTAAGAAAAGTGTATAAAAGATAAAAGTAATACACCAGCATCACTGATATGATGTTGAAAAAATAAGCCATAGTATCAACACTAGTTTGGTCTGTTATCAATGAGAGATTCTTCAGTTTAACTGTCTAGACCTTTTTCTTAGTAACTTCATTTTTTAAAACTACTGTCACCTAGTAAAAGAAGTGATTCATTTTTCTGCCTCACCTCAGAGAGAAATGCAATCTGATCATGTAGTGTAAATGAATAAGCACATGAGTAGAGTATGTGAGCAGGGAAGAAATGTCCTTCTGGTTGTTCAGATGGTTTCCTATTAGGATTTTGTAGAAGTGGGACTTGAAGAAGGATAGTGAAAATCACTGGCATGAATATAGGTGTGAAGCACAGAATGATGAGCAGATGTTTTCGAAAAAGGTAAAACAGTGATTAAAGCTGGTGTGGTAGATGGAGAGGATGAGAGAAATCCTACTTAAAACCAGAAGTAGAGTAATCAGATAGGAATGTGGTATTATGAAGAGCTTTGTCGATTAGTTGGGTGTTGTGCAACAAGGTGAAATGACAAAGAAGTTGCAGTAAAAGAATGACCAAAAGTGATGAAAGAAGTAGTGACATCTTGTACACAAAGCTTTTTTTCAAACAGTACGCTGATTCTGGAGGTATTCCTTGTGTCCAGGAATTTGCAAGAGGAATCAGCGAAAAAATTCTGTTTCTGCTGAAGGAGATATAAAGTTGTGTAATGGTATACGTGGGAATTCTGTGGAAAGAAACTGAAGGTTCATGCAAACACTCTTACGTATTTTTCAAAAATATTTCCGGCTATTTTTTTTTTTTAATGATTATAAATACTGGAGCCTAGAATGTGTATAAATGTCATGTAATTTTCTGTAGTAATTCAGGTTGCTGTGTCAAAAAAATAAATTATTTTAATATAATTATTTTACATTTAACAGCTGATGAGTTCTTAATAATTAATCCTATTTCAGAATTCACAAATGAGAGACTGAGATGGTAATTTTGATATATCAGCTGTTATCAAATGAATCAAGAGCTCAAAGACTGGTCTGCCTTTGGAAAGCTCTTTTCCATTCTGTATACTGTAAGAAATTTAAATGGACATGCTTGAGATGCACGTTACATCTGTACTGGTTCCTGTATACTTACCTCTTCTGTTCTTTTCCTCTTCTCAGATTGTTTGATGTGTGCACCGTGTCACGAACAGACAGAGAGACCAAGTTAACATTAGTGTTTGAACATGTGGATCAAGACTTGACTACTTACTTGGATAAAGTTCCAGAGCCTGGAGTGCCTACTGAAACTATAAAGGTATTTAAGGAGAAAGATTTTAGGAGATAGTATTTCAGAGATAAATCAGACAAACTGTGTTGTGATCCCTAGGATTTTGTTGCTTCAAAATTGAGTAGTGCCCAGCTTGGGACATGAGCTGCAGCACAAAGTAACAGATATAATCTCTTTCTGAAAAATGCTGCACTTGTGATTTTATTCCTCTTTCAGAGTTCTAAATTTACTGAATCTCTACTGTTGTACCAAATTTAGCATTCAAACACAGGAAGGAGAGGGACCTGTTGGAGCAGGTCCAGAGCAGGGTCACCAAGTTGATTAGAGGAATGGAGCACTTATCTTATGAGGAAAGGCTGAGAGAATTGGGATTGTTCAGCCTGAAAAAGAGAAGGCTTAGAGGTGACTTGATTGCAGCCTTCCAGTACCTGAAGGGAGCCTACAAGAAATACGGAGACTATTTACGGGAGCATGTAGTGACAGGAAAAGGGGGAGTGGTTTAAAACTGAAAGAGTATGTTTAGATTAGATATTAGGGAAGAATTCTTTACTGTGAGGGTGGTGAGGCACAGGAACAAGTTGCCCAGGGAAGTCATGGCTGCCCCACCCCTGGTAGTGTTCAAGGACAGGTTGGATGGAGCTCTGAGCTACCTGGTCTAGTGAAAGGTGTCCCTGTACATGGCAGTGGGATTTTTAAGGTGTTTCCCAATAGCAGTAATGCCATTCTGTGATTCCATCATTCTGGGAGATCATTAAGAAAGACCTTTGCTTCCAGCTGCAGGCAAATGGTTCTGTTATTGTTTCAGCAGAGACTACTTGAACCTTCCCTTAAATGTGAAGTGCTGGTTATTGCTAGAATGGATAAAATAAATCCTGTACTCCTTATCCCTTTTCATTTGCCTTTTATTTCCCCAAGAGACTACTTTTGCTTTATGTCCTTCTTCCCAGGAGAGTTTGTGTACATTCTGAGAGCAAGAAATGTTCATTGTGGGCCTGTGGTGTGCTCTGCAGAGGGTGGGCTGAAGAATGGGGCGAGTCATGATCAGTTGTTACAGAAGCTGGGGAAAGCTCTCAGTAACTGGGAGGACAATAATGAAATTTTGTTGTCATGTTATCTCATACTCTGCATCTGTAAGGGAGGACCCCTACCTAGGGTAGGATGTGCCTGCGTTATTGTTACTAAAATGCATATACCAACTCTGCTTTTCTGAGAATTTCACAGCAAAGTGCCATGTTGAGGATCGTAGGTTGAGGTGTTTGACAAAAGGTTTATACCTGGGAAGAGAAGCAGAGGGATTGATCTTGAGACATTTTGACAGTGTCTGTTTAACATTTCTTTTGATTTTTTTTTTTTTTTCATTTTTGTGAGGAGAAATAATTTATGCTTTCAGACATGCATTATCCATTATCTTTCACTTGTATAAGTACTTTCTGGAAGTATGTTGTATCATCTTAGTCTGGCAAGGAAAATCCTTGCCAGACTAAGATGATACAACATACTTCCAGAAAGTTATACTTCCATCCAGTGAAGAAAAGAAAACATGAAAACTCTTGAAAATGTAGTTTTTTTAATAACTCTTTTAACAGCTTCAGACTTAGGAGGTGTATGATCTTTCAGTATAAAATTAGAACTAAAGTGAATAAAGATCTATTCACTGGTGTCAAAGTCACATATGTATAATACCAATCAGTTCCAGCAATCATGTTTTTAACCAAACATAGTGGATAAAATAAAATTTTTGAAAAATGGATACAGCTTTGATTCAGTCAGAAGAAGACTGGAATGTACCTATTTTATTGTAAGACTATTCTATTATAATGCTGTTAAGGTTCTATTTTCCTCTTAGGACTTTGAAGCTACTTACATGAACTCTATTTCAACTGAACTAACATTGTGAAAATAAGATGCAAGGTGACTGGCTTATTATTTAACTAAATATATTGAAATCGATGGGATCTGAAAGACCAAGCCTCTGAAATCTCAGTTTGAAGTATCTTTTGATCTATGTTTCATTTAAAGGAAATACAAGACATGAGCACTGTACTAAAGTATTTATGATTTTCAAAAATTCTATTTTTGAAATAGAAATTGCACTATGAGACTGTCAAATATATGTTTGGGTATACATTTCATGGAGATTTTATACTGATGAAGGAAATCATTGTGCTTACATTTGAAAAGCACTATTCTGCATAAATGGTTTACTAGTCAACCCAGTTGCTATATCTGATAGTTTGGCAGAATAAAGTAAAAAAGGCACACAGAAACAAGGAGGAGCAATTTTGGTCTTTTATGTACAGTGCAAGTTCCACTGCAACCAGTGAAATTAGTGACTGTAAAATTCAGCTTGTGGTACATAATCACTTTTTAAATGGGTGAGGAAAAATGTAAAATTGCTGTTTACTTGGTCATCGCTGTTGATTTCAACATTTTCACAGTAGCTGATGTGTTTTTTCTTGAATTCTGTTTGGCACAGGAAAAGAGAGAGATTCAGTTAACTTAAGTTGCACCCTGTTGCTTCACGTTTATGTCAAAATATCCAGTTTATGGAGGTACTTTCGCTGATAGTCAGGGCTGATCACATGAGGAAGGGTCTCAAGGCTTATTTTTAGTATATTTCAATACCTTTGTAATTATAAAATCTTTATGGATATTCCTGACAGAAACTGAAGCAAAACATACTTCTCCTGGCTGCAGGAAAATACTACGATTTTGTAGCAGCTGAGCATTTAACCCAGAGCACATACATCGTTAAATGACTAATCTGACTTTTTATAGTTTGGCTTTTGAGGTTAATATGGATTTGTACTTCATTTATTTTCCAGAATTGCAGACAATTTGTGTAGAGTATTTCCCCTCACCGCCAGCACAGTACAAAACAGCTGCCAGTATTGTAAGACCATCTGTTAAAGTTCTGTGTGTGTCAGCAGCATAGAAGTGCCAAATGAGCCAAGCTCTGGATAGCTTGAAGTTGAAGGATCTAATATACCTCTTTGGCACCCTGGTGTAAAATCAACAGTTGTTAGTGGACCTTGAATGACATAAAATTACTATGAGAGAAGCATCAGCCCCAAAAGATCTTTTTTGTGTGAATTGACCACCATCGTTACATAACATTTAGGGAAGGGAGGCTCAGCTTCTGCTGGTTTGGGGCATGCTGGGGTTTTTGGTTACCACCTGTCAAGAAATAAAAGTGACACCGGTACCATTTTAAGAACTTTCTTTGTGTTTTGCAGGCAATTGTCAGACTGTAGCAGTTCAGAGAAATGAGCCATATTGATCATTCAAACACAGCTAGAGCTTTTGTCTTAATGCTGCTCAACAATGCCTTTCTAATGCCTAAGTCCCTGCAGTAGGAGTCACCCCAGAGGGTGTTTTAGGAAGATACAGACAGGTGTCCATAGCATGATAGAAGAGAGGTAGTTTTCCTAGGAGACATTGCCTGGTAGTGGGAATACACACCCAGGATCTAGAGCAGACATGCTCACTTCCCCTTTCTGTCACCAGGAGTGTGGATGCTCTCGTCCATTTCTGTGGCTCTGGCTTCCGAGTTCTAGGTTATTCTGGACAGAGCAGTTTTAAATCTTTTCTGCTGAAGCCCTTCCATTATTATTTAATTGAGTCTACTTTGAGCTAGAGGGATGGTGAACACTACTCCAAATACTTGTGGACATAATGTTCACTTTTGAAAGAGAGCCATAGTCAGCCTTTGTAGCTGCTGGATTGTAGTCACGCTCACACTTGCTGGCTTCCTCTGTCAGACCTGATTAATATATGTTCCATATGGCATGAATCAGAATCAGCAATGACAACATCTTCCTTCTTTCCTCTCTACCCATCGTCTCCTCCCTTCTTTTCTTCCTGGGATACTCTTTAACTTTAGGGTAGTTTATGTGGAAATGCAAGGTATGAGTTCAGCTTCCTTTGGTCACAGCTGTTAGTCATGCACAGGTCTTTGGTAACGTTAATGGTCTTAGCAGTTGAGCCTCCAAGAGCCTTGGCTCATTAGGAACTTTTGTTAGCTGACATAAGGGTAGTGGAAGTGGGAATGACACATATGCCACAGCACCATGATTTTCTTCTAAATAGTTAACAGACCACTAAAGTATTTTGATGTCTTAGCCTTTGGGACTGGAGCATGTTTAAACTGCGTGGTCACGTTTCATTCTGATGCTTGTGCTGGCATTTTTTTTTTATTCTAATTAATTTTGATATGGTTATGGTTGTTTAACACTAACTACATTTTTCATGTAGAAATCATATGCATCAAACAATGCAACCAAGATGATGTCTATTGCTTTAAGATACTGCAATGTATTTAATAATCCTTAGCTTTAAATTATTCTATGCATGTAATGGCTTTGTATATAAAGCTGTACATTAAGCGGTTGCAGAATGGTTCTTTGGAGTTCCCTCCAGTCATTTTGTACTGCTATACCAGAGTCTCTAAAAGCGGGAGGGGACAACAAACTTTTACTGGGGCTCTTTAATTTTAGTAATGAATAAAGTTAACTTTGTGTGGTAATGTCATTACAAGTAGACTTGTGGCTTCTTGCAATAGTTTTCTTACAGAAATCTGGAATTTAGGCTACATGTGCTAAGTGGGCTGTGTGTGTGTCAATCTGACAGTCAACACAGGAAAGAACAAAACAAAGGTTTCCAGTACAGCAGGTGCATATGTTACCTATCACAGAATGTTGCAAAAGCTGGGATGTTTTTCTACTCAGGCCTGTGATTTGTGAGTCTTCATGGTATTCCCTCCAACCTTGAACAGGGCAGCCAGATCACAGAGTGAGCAAGGTTCAATGTGTATGCTTTTCTCTGCTGTGTCCTGGTTCCTCACGCAAGTGAATGGCTTCTGTGAATATTTTTTGGATATTTACTTCTTTGCATAGAAAGCTGATATACCCATCTGATTCGGGTATACAGATTCTGGTATTTAGATTCCTAAAATTTATAAAGTACAGCAGTGAACCTAATTCTCTTTTGTGGGCTTATCAGATAGTAGCCCATAAATTGAATTTTTA